TTGTCGGACCATAGCCTAGCCACTGACCATCGTCTCACATCCACCTGGTCACCAAATGTTGTCAGATTGTTGTGGATATGTTTTTATGGATTATGATTTTGGTGATAGCAAACACTCTTATTTCTCTACGACTGTCTTTTCAGGTCCACAAGATCAGACTGCAATTCGTAACCAGCTCAAGTTGGGTAGACTAGGTCTAAGTCAGCTTGTATCTTTTTCCTTTCTTGAGTCTATTGTAATTGGTGTGGCTCCTGACGCTATGTAACTTTGCACACACATACCTTGGAAGATTTTCTGTCTGTTCCCTAGAGTTTACTGTTTTTGGTAACATTGTCCGGGATGATATTTATATCGGCCTGGACGATCGGTTCAAAAACAAAAACCCTAATTAAGGCATCTTCCTCATTAATGCAGCCTTCATTAAGCTGATCAGCCTGGACGATCCTTGTATCGGCTAGGACGATAGGATCAAATCAAAAAGAATTAGCCGCCATGATCAATTTAAGTATTCTTTATTTCAGGACATCAGCCAGGATGATATATACATCTGCCTTGATGATGCAGCAAAATTATGCCTAAATTAATCTGATAATTATGAAAAGTAATTAAGGCTGATTGATATGATCACATCGGCCGGGCCGATCGCAGGATTGGCCGAGATGATGTCCTGGATGATTAACATCGGCCAGACTGTATTTCGGGCGATGTTCAGGATGATTGTACTTGAATTTGAACTAATCGGCCAGGATGCTATTGTATCGGCCAGGACGATGTTACAAATTTTCTTTCGATCATCCTAAATCGTCCCGGCTGATTGAGCTTATTTTGTACTGATCGGCCATGATGATATTCATATAAGCCTGGACGATAAAATCGGCAATTTGCATTAATGAGCTTGTTTTGAGATCTTCTATTTAAGCTTTTGACAAGGCACTTTTGTAAGTGTCTTTAGTAGCCATTATAGCTACGTTCTTTTGGGGGAAACTTGAAGAGAGAGATTGAAAGGGAGTGAGAAAAGGGTGGAGTTTGAGAGAGGGAGAAGATCCTTGGAGGGGGGACTCTAGGGAGTGTGGAGGGGGATTCCACATGGTTGCTCCAGGAGCTTGTACCTTAGCACCGTCGAATTCAAGGCTTGTCTTAAGGGAAGTTCATTGAAGAAGAAGATCTCTTTGATATCAAAGGACCTGGCTACTCCGCCGCACCGGGGAAGGTGGAAATAATTTTGTAAGGGCTTCTCTGCATAGCTGTGGTGGCTAAAGGATAGACACTTAGTTTAGTGCAATACTCGGAGGGTGCCTCCGAGGAGTGGACATAGGTCAAGGTTTGACCAAACCACTATAAATCTGGTGTGTTCTTTTCTTTATTATTTTCGCATTATGTTTTCTTTGTAGTGAATTTTGGTTTGGTTTGAGTTTTTTTTAAAGGTATTTAAAATACCAATTCACCTCTCTCTTAATTAGCCTTGGGCCAATTCATAAGAGGCCTAACATTCCTAATGAACTTTTAAGTGGTATGAGAGTGGGATTCATAAAATTAAGTTTTTGAAAACTTTTAAAATTTGATCCATGGCTAATTTTTCTAATTGTAATATTATGGAAGGTTATTCAATCACCAGACCACCTTTTTTTGAAAATATTATATTTAATTTTTGGAAAATTAGTATGCCTACATTTTTGCAATCAATTGATTTTCGTATGTGACATATAATTTTAACTAGTTATTCTTTAGTGTCACGTGTTATAGATGGAATTAAAACTGATATTCCTTTTAACCGATGGAATAAGTAAGAACAAATCAATGCTCAACTGAATGCAAACTTATTAAACTGTTTATTTTGTGCTTTAAATTCTGAAGACTTTATGTTAGTTTTTACGTGCACTACTGGTAAGAAAATTTGGGTTAAATTACACACCATATACAAAGGCACTAATGAAATCAAGCAATCCAAGTTGAATTTTTAAATGCATGATTATGAACATTTTGCATGAAACCTTATGAGACGATCTTAGACATGTATACTAAAGTTATTCAAATTATTACATCATTGCATTCTTTAGGTAAAGAGTTTTCAAATCTTGAAAAAGTTAATAAAATTCTATGTTGTCTACTTGATAAGTTTGATGCTAAAGTTATTGCTATTTGTGAATCAAAGAATTTGAAAAAGTATTCTATTGATAATTTTATTGGCTCACTCATTGCCTACAAGCAAAGTTTGGGTCAAAGACATTTTGATGGTGGTGAAACGATAGTACTAAATGCTGAAGACATGGAGCAAAGTGGCTTAGTTGGTGACGAATGCGATAGCTTGTCATGCAAATTAAAATGCTCACCAAAGTATAAGCCTCAACAAAAGTGGAATTCAAAAACTCTAGCCGTTAGAGAGAGAATTTTTGAAATTTTAATAATTTCATTTCCGTTTTCCATTCCCGATTCTCAGGAACGGCGGTGGACAATGGCGGCAGACAGCCGCCAGCATAACCAGAAGATAGACATGGTGTCTAAAGATCAACAGAAACCTACGTCGTCGACATCGAGGTCTTCGTCTCTGATGGATATTTCAAACAACAATGATTCAGGTGATGGATTGACGATTTTGGATTCTAAAAAAATCCATAATCCTCTGTTTAAACGTCAAGGACCTTTGGTAATCAAGTAAGTTTCTGAAATTTCTCCCAAGAAAATTCAATATGTGGAAGGCAAAGGTAAGGCAATAGACGAAACTTTGAATTCGGTTACTCCTAACAGTTTTAAATCTACAGCTTTTCCTTCTGATTTGAATGCTTCAACTTCTGGAATGAAATTATTTGTTAATCATTTCGGGAATTCGATGTAATCCCTGGACTTCGTCGCAGCGTGATAAATGAGAATTATCAAAATTTGTTTAACAAAAAGTTTTATTCCGAACCTGAAATAAGGAAAGAGACGAATGAAGATAAGATGCCTGTTGGAATGCCAAACAGCTTAATTGGTTTAGGTAATGTTAATCCTTGGAGCAATAAACCATATATTAAGCTGGATTTTAAAGATGAAGAAGTCGTCTACTCTGAAGATGGAATACCAGTGAGATTACATGAAGAAAATGAGAAGAGGAACTAAGAAGTTTTAGCTAATTCATTGGTTCTTAAGGTATTTGGAAATGTTATACCTTCTCATTTAGCGGCTTGGAAAATTAGGAAGCAATGGACTAAATTCGGAAAATTCCACTTTACTACATTGGGTGGTGGATGGTTCTTATGTTCCTTCTCATCCGAAGAAATGATGGAAGTAGTCCATTCAGGTGGCCCATGATTTGTAAATGGACACATAATAGGTATGGAGAAATGGACTCCGGAATTCAACACTAATTCGATTAAGGGACTATCATCTCCAATTTGGATTAGGATGCCACATTTATCCTTACAGTGTTGGGTTGAGAAGAATGTAGCTTACATTGCTTCAAGAATTGGTAAACCACTTATGTTGGATGGCAATATGTTTCATTGGGGAAGGAGAGAGTTTGCAAGAGTTTGTGTAAGAGTTAAGCTTGATGAACCACTTCCTTTAGGAGTTTGGGTGGATAGCATGGCCGGAAGGTTCTTCCAAAAGGTAGAATATGAGAAGGTTTCAAACTTTTGTTTTGTATATGGAAAAATTGGACATGTGAATAAAGAATGTGAACAAAATGCTAATAAACCTCAAGTGGCAGTGGAAAAGGAGGAAATTAGAAGAGTAAAGGCTGTGGAAAGCAAACTTGAAGATCTAACTAAAACTTCTTATGGTCCTTGGATTATGGTTAACAACAAGAGAAGAAGAAATTCTAAAAGGAGCAATCAGAAGATTAAGAAAAACAATATCAAATATGTTAAAAAATCTGATATTCCTATATCAAATGGTAATGACATTCAAAAGGTGGTGGAGAAAGGATTTAGTGAAAGCTTGGTTCAAGAAGTTCCTAGAGAATTCTGTATAAATACAGAAATTTTTGAAGAAGGAGAGATAAGGCCAGAACTTATTACTGTGCCTTCTCAGGAGAATAACTTGGCTATGGAAAAGCCTATTACTTCAGAAAGCACAATTGGGAAGGGTTGCCCGTGAACTCAAGCAAATCCTAATGGATTACTTGCGAACTCAGGTATTCCTTATCATGTGACAGCAATTTCTTCCAGCTGCAATCCAGAACATATTACAGATAATGTTCTGCAATTGAATGAAGAACCTCCACGGTCTCTTATAAATGAGAATAAGTTCTCCATACTCAAATCTAATGCTACAGATAGTAATGAAAATGTCTACATTCAGGAATCACTGGTAACTGTTGAAGAAGGGAGAAATCATAAGGAAGGTAGTTCGGAGCCTCTTAAAAATACAGGTGATTTATTGGTAATGGAGAATAACAATGGTTTGGTTGAAGATTTGCCTAAATGTAAATTGGAGAAAGAGTTAAAATCCTTAGGACCTATTAATATGAAAACCCATGGAAGACTTGGAGAAGGAAAAAAGAAGGCTGGGGGCTACTCCCCAACTAATTTTTAATGGAATCCAAAGCATTTTGGAATTGTAGAGGGGAAAAGAAGAAGGAAGCCTCTCTATATATGAAGGAGTTCATAAAAGACTATAAGCTTTTCTTTGTGGGTTTAATTGAAACTAAAATCAGCTCTTTTGATAAAAAAGAGTTTGAGAAGATCATGGGTCCTAATTGGGATTTCTTCATTCTACCTTCTATGGGTTTATCAGGTGGTATTATGATTATATGGAGATCTGATATTTCTTCATTCACTGTGTTAAAGACAATAGATCAATGTGTTATTGGAGATCTTAATGTCTTTAAAAAAGATTGTTGGATGATTACTACAGTTTATGGGAACAAGGAGGCTAACAAGAGAAGATTGTTATGGGATTGCATCCAAGAACAATCACAAAGGAAAATTCCATCTGTAATTGGAGGAGACTTTAATTGCATTCTTTCACAAGAGGAAAAGAGAGGAGGTAAGAAATTTGTCTTTTCTCAAGGTTCCTTAGATATGCTTAAGTTTATGAATGATAATGACTATCATGATATTGGGATGATTGGTCCAAGATATACTTGGTGCAATAGTAAAGTTGGAAGTGGAATAATTCTAGAACGTTTGGATAGATGTTTGTTGAACTTAATGGCTTTTCAAAAGATCCAAATTGCAAAGATAAGACATCTAGCAAGATTGGCTTCGGACCACTGCCCCATTGTGCTGAAACTTTTTGATGCAACTAGAGGCTCGACAAGAACATTTAAATTTGAAGATGTATGGCTATCATTCAAGACATCGGAACATATTGTGTCTAAAATTTGGAAGAAGAATTTTGTTGGTGATGATATGGAAATCCTGAACAAGAAATGTAAAAGAGCTCTTAATGAATTATCCCATTGGAGCAAGAATAAGTTTAAAGACTTCTCTAGAGATAAATCTAGATTGAAGAATGAGATTTTATTACTCCAAGAAGAGGAAGCTACCAATGGTTGGTTGATTGATGAGAAGCTATGGCTACTTAGATCTAAAGTTAAAGAACTCAATGTTATACTCAATTACTTGAACACTTGGGGGAAGCAAAGGGCAAAAGTGAAGTGGATTGTTGAAGGTGATTCAAATACCAAATTCTTTCATTCGTTTGCCAATGCTAGAAGAAATACCAACTGGATTTCTCAAGTTAAAAATCTGGAAGGACACATTACCGAAGATCCTATAGATGTGGAAGATGTTTTTTATATATTCTTTCAAGAGAAATGGAAGGAAAGAAAATGCTGTTTAGCTAACTGACCGAATCCATGGAAAGTTTTAAATGAAGATGACAAAAATTGGTTGAGAAAGGAGCTGACAACAAATGAAGTTCAGGAGGCGGTCTTGAAGCTAGGGAGTAATAAAGCTCCTGGTTGTGATGGAATAACTCACTCTTTTTTTAAAAGCTTTTGAGAAATAATTGGTAGTGATGTATGTAAAGCTATGAGCCTTTTTTTTCTCTACAAGTAAAATGAGTAAATATTGGAAGGATACTTTGGTAGTGCTCATACCAAAGTCCATTAATCCTTTATCTCCGGCTCATTATCGTCCAATCAGCTTGTGTAACTCAATCTATAAGATTGTATCGAATATAATCTTAAATAGATTGGTTTTAGTTATTCCCAAAATCATTTTGGAAGAGCAAGTGGCTTTTGTTAAGAATAGATCAATTTCTAATTATCTATTATTAGTTCAAGAGGTTTTCAATAAACTGAGATTTTCAAAAGCTTCTAATGGATATTTGGCTATCAAATTGGATATGGAACAAGCTTACGACAATATGTGTTGGCTAACCTTAAAGAAGATGATGAAGGATTTAGGCTTCCCGGAAAGATTTATAGATCTGATTATGGATTGTGTTTCATTTCCCAGATTTTCTATTTTAATAAATGGGACAAGATCCAAATGGATTGAGGGCAAAAGTGGGTTTTGTCAAGTATGCCCACTCTCTCCATTCTTATTTATAATTTCCTCTCAATTATTATCTAATGTTTTCTACTGCATGGGAAACAATTAGGGAATCAGTATTTGCTCAAATGCATCAAAAAATTCACATTTATTATACACAGAAAATGTATTGTTATTCTCTGATGCTAGATTGAGCAATGTGAAGGAAATTAAAAGCATTATCAAGCTTTACTGCAGCTGGACGGGCCAGAATGTCAACAAACAGAAATCTTCTTTAATATTTGGTACTTCTGTGTTAAGAAGGAAAACGAAACTTATTTCTAAATTGATGGAATTCAAACCTGTAGAGGAATTGGATTATCTGGGAATTAAATTCGCCTTGAGACGGTTAAAGAAGAGTGACTTCCAAGTGTTGTTGGAAAAAACCATGAAGAGAATGAATGAATGGGGAAACAGGAATTTGTCTCTAGCTGGAAGAATCTGTTTGGTAAAATATGTCATTCTTACTATACCAGTTTTTTGGATTTCTAATTCTCTTGTACCTATGAAAGTTCTTTATGAATTAGAAAAACTGTGTATATATTTTATTTGGAATAAAATGGATAGAAGCAAAGGGTTACACTATGTGGCTTGGGAGTTATTATGTACTCCAAAACAATGCGGTGGATGGGGTCTTCAATCAATTACTTCTAGAATTGGTTCTCTTAGAGCTAAGTTTGCTTGGAATCTCATTGAGAAACCAAGTAACTTGTTAAATAGAAACTTGCTAAAAAATATGGTGATTTGTGGTGGAGAAAGGATGAGTATAAAGGAGGATCAAATGCTTGGAAAATTATCATGAGTGGATGGAAAACTCTTAAAAATTTTGTTAGATGGAAAATTGTTAATGGTTCCAACATAAACGTCTTACATGATACTTGGATTTTAGACAAAAGTATTCTCAGATGGCCGACTTACATAAAATGTCTTGATGAAGATATTACTTCCCTAGATTATTTCATTGAAGAGGGAAAGTGGAATTCTGTTAAGCTGAATCAATTTTTTGGAATTGACCTCCTGAATATTATCCGAGAGGTGCAGATTTTCAGCAATGAAACATCAGATCAAATGGAATTGAAAAAATAATTATCTAGTAAAATAATCTCTGCCATGCTCACCGAAGATTACTATGGAGATGCTGCTTCTAAGGTAATGTTTTCGTGGATTCATAAAATAAAAACCAATGCTTGAGTAGAGCTCTTTTTTTGGAGATTAAGCAATGATGCTATTCATACAGAATTTTTTCTTTTTAAAAGGAAATTAGTTGTTAATTATATATGTCCTATGGGATGTGGTGTTACTGAAAACTTGGATCATATTACTTCTAATTATTCTAAACTTTTGGAAGTATGCAATGTCCTACAAAATTGGGAATTCAATATTCCATCCTACAATAATTGGAATGATTTCAACAATGGCCTTAGAAGTTTAATAAATCATGATATCATGACTGCTAGAATATATGTTTTAACCGTATGGATGGTTTGGAACAATAGATGCAATGTGAAGCATGGAAAAACTGGCAGTACTAAATTGTTTCTTGCTTCTTCTGTGTTGAGCTATCTTAGCTTAGCAAAAAAAGATATTGTCCATTCAGACCATTGGGATGCTTATCGGTCCAAAGGACAGCTTTCACATTATTGGCATCCACCTCCACCTGAGTGGCTTAAAATCAATCTTGATGCAGCTATTGGAGATAATTATATGGCGGGGATCGCTGGTGTGGTAAGAGATCATAAAGGAAGATTTATATTTTCTTTTGGGAGAAAGATGATGCATTGGGATAGTGCACAAGTGGAGCTCTTGGCATTCAAAGCTTCGGAAGGAATCTCTCTTGATTGGACAAGATATATTAAAGGTATTATTCTGGAAGGTGACAATAAAAACTGTTCTCCAATATCTTCAAAAGGTGTACAACAAACCGGAGATTATTAGAGAGAATTCTTTGGGAGATGAAGGTATAGCTTTTTTTACTAATATCAATAATGTCATCTTTAATTGGGTTAATCGCAAATGTAATAAGTTAGCGTATTATTGTGCTTACTTAGCTTTATCTTTTGATTTTGATTTGGACTTATTTCTTGAGGATAGCCTTCCTTCTTCCTTTGTTAAAATAGTAAAGGAAGAGAGTGAAAGGTGGTTTGATCCTCATTAGCTTGTACCTTGGCTTTTTGATGCCTCTTTTATTTTATTGCTACTTAGCATTTCTCAAAAAAAAAAAAAAGTGGAATAAATATAAAAATGGTAAAAATGGTAAGATTACTTTGACGTTATTTGCTTTGGATGTAGGAAGCCTGGACATATGAAAAATCAGTTCCCTAACTTGAGAACTCGTCCTGAAAGAGAAAAGGCAAAAGCGAAGAAAATTATAGAAAGGGGAAGTAATGTAAAGTAGAAAATCTCCTGGGTAGATCTAGCTTCTGAATCATCAGACCAGGAGCAAGATACTGTTTACATTTCTTTTGTGTTTGTGTTGTGTTTTATTTATTATTTATTTATTATTTTATGTGTTCTTTTTTATTTTCCTTCAGTTTTTTGTTATTGTTTTGAAATTTTAAATTAGCTTTTATACTTAGTTTTGTGAAGTTCTTTCTGATCAACACACGTTTATTTTTTTAAAAATGAAAAATCTTACCTCTTATTTTTCTTGAATTCTTATGTAAGTTGTAGTTGACTTCTCTAAAAATAGTCAAAGGAAGGAAACTCATGATTTTATCTATCTATCTCTTTTCTTAAAAAGATTATTTTACTTTTGATTCAAAATCTTCATCATATTATAAAGTAGTTTTTGAAATTGATCTTTTTCATCTCCCTACATTTTCTTTATCGCATAGAGATCCTCTGTAAGTTATTGAATCTATCTCATAGCTTTCTTAATCAAGTAGTTTGCTTTATCAATAGAATGGGTTTACTTTTATTTTTAAAATTTCAGAAAGATAGCATATTTAATTATAAAAAATAGCCAATGATGCCAATTCAAAAAAAAAAAAAGGCCAATGATGTCAAATCAAAAGATGTGTAATGACGCCAAATTGAAAAAGATACACAAAGTGTTTCAAATAGTAAAAAATACACAAAGTGCGCCAAAAACTAACAAGAGGCATAAAATGAGCTCAAAGTGAGTATGCTTACTTTTTCTGTTTAACTCAAAGTTTAAGAAAACTCTTGATATTTTCGATACTTGATCTTGAAAATCATTATAATTTATTCACCAATTTTTGCATTAATCTTCTATTAGATATGTTTGATAAAATGAGTTTTGAAAAATTAATATTTCTTCTTCTAATTTGTTTCTTGATTTAGATATTGGATTAAAAAGTTTTTGAGTCTTTAAAAGAACTTGAGCTTGGATTAAATTTTTTTGAATTTTTAAACTTTTTTGGATTATGCGTTGTCAATCCATTCATTACTAAGTTTTTGAATAAAAACAAGAGGTAACTTTCTTATTTTAAGAATATTTAATTTTATCTTCACTTGATCAGGGATCATTTTTTTATCTTTTAATCATTTTTTATTATCCTAATTGTTTGTGCCCCTTCTTTTTTTGATAATGTCAAAGGGGAAGAACATATTATTGTATTTGTATCTTTTTTTCTTCTTTCAAAAATTAAAAACAACAAAAAAATTTTATTTCCCCTATTTTTTAAAGTTTTATTTTAGTAAGGGGGATATTAGGATAAAATATTTTTGTTTCATAAATTCAACTAGTAATGTTTGCCATCATCAGAAAGGGGAGATGGCAACGTATTATTGTATTTGTATTTTTTTTTCTTATTTTAAAAATTAAAAACAACAAAATTTTTTTATTTTCTTTATTTTTTAAAGTTTTTTTAATAAGGCGGAGATTAGAAGAAAATATTTTTGTTTTGCAAATTCAACCAGTAATGTTTGCCATCATAAAAAAGGGGGAGATTATTACGGATATGGTTTCATGGATTATGATTTTGATGATAGCAAACACTCTTATTTCTCTACGACTGCTTTTTTAGGTCCACAAGATCAGATTGCAATTTGAAACCAGCTCAAGATTGGGTAGACAAGGTCTGAGTCAACTTGTATCTTTTTCCTTTCTTGAGTCTATTGTAATTGGTGTGGCTCCTAACGCTATGTAACTTTGCTCACACAAACCTTGGAAGATTTTTTATCTATTCCCTAGAGTTTAATGTTTTTGGTAACATTGTTCAGGATGATATTTATATCGGCCTGGACGATCGGTTCAAAAATAGAAACCCTAATTAGGGCATCTTCCTCATTAAGGCAGTCGTCATTAAGCCGATTGGCCTGGACGATCCTTGTATCGGCCAGGACGATAG